CTTCCCATGACCCTCTGTTAATTATACCTTCTCCTTCCTTCGCTCCCCCTTCCCTACCCTGTTTTATTTTACATGTAAGCACTGACCACCACTTACCATATTAACATATATTTTTGTTTACTTATTTATGTCACTGCATTCACACTGGGATGTAATCTCAGGACAGGAGAAATTTCGGCTGTTTGTTTATTGCTATATTGTCAGTATGTAGAACAGACTTGGCAGAGTGCAGATATGCTGTAAATATTTATTGAATGAGTTAATAATGGTTACATGGACTTTTTTCCATTAAGTCACAGAGATGCTTAAAGATTGGTAAATAAAAAAGTGTGATGAAGGCATAGACCAGAACAGTTTTTTTTTCCCTGATGAATGTCTAATCTAATTTTAATATATTTGATGCTTTTGGATATATGTAGATAGGAATCCATTAATCCACTATCTTAGTTTATTCGGGCTGCTGTAATAAAATACCTTCGACTGGGTGTCTTATAAACAGAAATTTTCTTCTAACCATTCTGGAGACTGGGAAGTCCAAGTTCAAGGCACCAACAGATGCAGTTTCTGGTGAGGGCCCAGTTTCTGGTTCACAGATGGAGCCTTCTTGCTGTGTCCTCATGTGGAAGAGGCAAGGGATCTCTCTTGGGCCTCTTTTATAAGGGCACTAATCCCATTCATGAGGGCTTCACCCTCATGCCCTAATCCCCTCCCTAATACCAACACCTTGGGAGTTGGGATTTCAGCATACGAATTGCAGGGGGCCACACATATTGAGACCATAGCACCCTCACATCTAATGAAAGCTTAGCTTAGCTTTGCAGTTGTGATCAAATTGAATGTTTCCCCCATGTGGTTTTCCTGTAGCCTTTAGTAGTGAATCATACTCACTTGGTGAAGAACTACTTTTTAGAAAAGATTAATTCTCATAAGCCACTTTTTAGGCAGATCTCCTATAAAAGAAAATAGCTATACTTTATATAAGGAAAGAAAAATCTTGAGTCTTTCCCTTTAAGGATGTTCCTCGTGACAGCTGTCTTCCTCTTCCAAAGAGAGTTACAGCAAAGACTGTTACCTATCATTTTAGTCATCCATATTCAAAAATACAGTGTACATGTCCCTGCCTTTATTCTGTACAAACTTAGTCACTAAACAAATAAATGTTACAGAAGATAGCCATTAAAGAAACACATGTTAAAGAAG